TCATAATATGGAATAATCTGACACATTAGAATAAAGCATAACGATACGGAACCTGTCAGACTTCCATCGGGGCCCACCCTCATCGCCATCTCCGAAGAGAAGATAGCAATTTGGGTTCGAGATCATCACCACCACCGCCGAAGCAGAGGTAACTCAAAAAGGCTTCACTCTTGGGTCTCGAGGAGATAATCGTCATCCTCCAGGTTGGAGAATCTGTGGCTCTGGTTAGAGTTTCAGATGAGACGATTTACTATAGAAATGATCCTATGAAGTAAAATCGCATAGTGAGAGAAGAGGGGGAGGTGGGGGGGAGGGACTCTTATATCATACTTCTGTGAAAATGCCAAGACTTGTTTCTAGTCGGCCAAAATCGGAAGGTTCGCGGTCACGTTTTTTCCTTTTCTTTTTAGGAAGGTAGGTGTTATCAGAGGGTGCTGGTGAGGTCAGAAACCTAATCGCAGTTGGCTGTTTGCTATATTGCTTATATGATAATTGAGGCTGGAAACAACCCTGGTCTGGACTTTAGATACCTGTGTGACACCGGCACGCAGACCGATCGGTCGTTTTCGAATTTAAAAACCCCATATTTGAGCATTATTCTAATAATAATACTATTATATTACAAGTATGTGCTCGAGGAGAACAGATTTTTTTGGATTACCGCCCCCGTTCTTGAATTGTGGGAAGCGCAGGTAGCCTACCTGAGTATGACACGACACCGGTAGAGCAAATACGAGGTCTCGATGTTACTTAAAGATCTCAGCGAATCACTTTCCCTCGCCGAGTGTTGGAGAGGAAACCTTCTGTTTGTCCAATCATCTCTCTCCTGATAATCATATGATCGAGTTTGTTTCCCAATGTCTCCTTCCTTGGTTGGCTTCTTCCCCGACCTGCCCAAACAGAAACCGGTATTAACCCGAGCCGGGTTCCCCCAGCTCCGATCGGGGCGGTCCATCCGAGTGCCCCAATCGAATAAAAAAAGACAAGGTGGGCGGTTACGAACTTCTCGTTCAGGACTGCTGGCAACATAGGGAGTCGAAAAATACAGTACGCCACAGCGCCGTACAGAGGGCCATCATCAACGGTATGCACGCCCGTTGGCCAGGTTGCCGGTATCGTAGTTGCGATACGAAGGTTAGCAGCCGTTTGAAAGCGATCCGAGCAAGTGGGGAATTGGCGGTTACTTATGGCACTGGGTGCCGCATGATACAGTATACGAGTATTCTGCAGTCTGGTACTGTACAGTTCCTGTTGTTCACAGCTGATGTGTTTCACCCAGTACGAGAAAACAATCGCCCTGGGGAAACGATCAACCTCACTAAAAATCTACCGATTTGAGCACATCTATAATCCAAGTGTTCTAGATCGGAAGCTTATATATTGGTACCGTACAAGCCCATGGTTAATTTTTTGAACACCTCTAAGCATTCAACAGGGATTCCCAGTCCACCTATGCAAAACGAAATTTTCCACGCTCTGCCACCATGAACCTGCAACTCCGGCTGGAAGGCCCCTCAGCCCACAGAAAAAGCGGCAAAAAGGGCTCCAATTTAGGGCATCGGTGCATCATATCAATAAATATTAATAATACCCCCAGCTCATGTCCCCGAATTACAAATCTTTTTTCTTGAAAAAAACTACTTTTCACTATACTCACTTCCCCTCTAGTTCACACCTCAATTAAGGGGAAGATCTTCCGAAAAATTCAGAAGACTAGAATCAACACGCTGTACAACTCCACAGTTAACCAACGTCATGTCGGTTGGCTTATCTAATTGCTTACACAACTCGATCCCTTACTATGATAGGGTAGGCGAAACACGTTATCTAAACATGGCTGGATAGCCGCATCACAGGGGTCGTTTCAGCCAATACCGGTACTTGTACGAGTACTGTACAGTACCCGTACTGTACCACTAAGAATGCACGACTACTGCCGGTTATGATTTACCGGTACTGGTACTGTAACAACCCCCCCCCCACTCACGCCTTCCCCACTTACGACAAAGACCAGGACTACGTATCATACCACTCACGGATTTGTTCTTTCCGAATTTGCCAGGAAACTAGTGCTGAAAACAGTATCCCGTATTTCTACTGTGCTGTATAAGTTAATATGTTGCAAGAAATAGCAATAAAGCTCCACCCAAAGGCATGGTTAACGAGATTAGAGGTAGGATTAGCATACTAAAGTACCATCTAGAGAATCAACTGCTAAATTCTAAATTCTTTAAAATCAAACCACCCCCGGCTTCAGAAATTCTAAAGCTCAGAAATCTGGAAACTTTCACGCAACCAGCCAACAATCCTTAATCCCGCGATCGCCGACGTACAAGGCCTTAACCCCCAACACACGAAATTGGGCAACGAGTTATCTTATCACACCGGCAGATGAAATCCTATGAAAAATCACACCCTACTTTTATTTATTAGGTTGCACTGGTACCTCCATTTTACCATAATGGCCATACTCCAGGAATTTAGAAAGTCGTTTCTTTCTGCAGGAATAGTCTGTGGTCCAGGTTATCGTTCTAAACGCCAGATGTAACAAATTCCCACTGGAAGCCCCCCAGCTACGCCCTAAGTCCATGTAGATATTCAAGACTATTCGACCATCTAATGACGCATCAGATAGGCCTCCATCGCAACAATAAACACCGGGAATCGAAAAGGAATACGATGCATCATCCTACCGGGGTAGGGCTGCGAAGCGATTCACAGCCGGGCTGGGAAGCGCACAGATAGAGTCCGCCGTTTCTGGGATTTTTATCCTCATTAAATCCAGAGTGGTGTCCCATGACACGAAGCAATACCAAACCCTCGGGTCATCAGATTGCCGTGCGAGAAAGGCGGCTGGCAGTAATGCAACAGAACATTTGCCAAGTAATGCAAGTGCCGATGTGAACCGTCGAAGACCCGGGCCAAAACCCACGAAAAATGGGGGTTTTCGAGTGAGTGACCACTATTGCCTTGGTTCCGCTTTTAAGCGTCAAAGGAGCCCCGGAAAATACCCAAGTGTCTGAAATACACAGTACGAGTATTGTTTTTTGCCGACCCCTATCTACTGCATACAGAAAGTGCGAAGCACTTGAAGTCATCGAGGCCGGTCGCAACAGATCCTCTGCTTGCGAAAACCCTTGACCTGCCAGGTACTCAAGTAGTGTGCCACAGCGCTGCAAGGAAAGCATTGGCCACCGCGGTATTCCAGGGTGATTATATTTTTCGGTAGACCCATTGAATTTTACCGGATCAAGGAACTCCAATCTAGGTAAATATGTTTTGACTTCTGTCCCTTTACTAAACAGTGCGTACCGTTGAAAATGGAGATAGCGGTCGTGTTGAAAATGCAGGTAATGATCAGACCGGAGGTTTTACCTGTGAAAAGAAGAGGCTGAAGTAGAGGAGAAAGAGATTCTATTGAGAGTTGAGATGTTCAGTTGATTGGTCCGATTAAAATTGAAATTTATACGAAGAAAAGGGTTTCAACGCAGCGCATTCCACCGACTCCACCGACGCGCACTCAAGTATGATACTGGGCACAGTACAGCACCGGTACTTGTGTGTCCTAGTGCCGATGTTCCGTAGATGTGCCAAGCATAGGAGTGATATATCATGATTCTCATTAGATTTATCACGGGCAGAAGCTGTTTTCCAATGCAGGTCGTCCACCCATATGACCTGCAGCTCGGCTTTGGTGTGCCGGTTCGTTTTCGTCACTTTGGTGTGTTGAACTGCTATGTGCTTCTACTCTTACTCTAATTCCTACATTTTTTATCGCGATCGCGATTGAGCTTAGGCTGACAATTTGTCAAGGATTGGGGCATACCGAGGCGTTGCATTTCAGTGCCGAGATCATGAGATAACGCGCCAAATTCGGCTTCCTTCTTCAACTTCTCCCCTCTTCTCTTCGTGCGATAAGGCCAAAAAAAAAAAAAAAGCGGTACCTTTATTCTGGAAACTGCTGGCGTTTGAAGGGTTTTCCCGGGTTTGACGGGCAACCTATTGGGCGAGCTATCACAGATAAACTTTAAAGTGCGGTTCTGGTCTACTAGAGCACAGTTATCCCTTCGCCCGCTGAATTCCTGGGATTCCAGTCCAACAGTATTGGCACTATCAATGCACCTTACCTGTTAGCGATTGGTTAGTAGTACTGAGCGACCTTCCAGTGACGGACACTAGACTACTCGAGTACGGCAGTTTCTCGGGCTTTTGGCCGGGTGCAGTGGCTTGGCGGGGAGTGGGTATATGCCCCCCGCTGCAACCTCAAACCTCAAAACAACCTCGGGCATGCCCGCAAGTTAATATCTCTGCTCTCGATACCCCCTTCGGAACGGATTCGTACTCAAGCACAGTATGTATTCAATATCCGTCTCGACTGCGGCTCGACATCAACGCTACGAGGATTGATTGGGCCATGGACCGTCGGTTAGTGCATAAGTTTATAGGTTCGAACAAGGTAAAGAGAAGAAAGGCACACCAATGGCAACAATAGATATTAGCAATTGAGGGGCAATTTGGAATGCCTGGGTCTGCTCCTAAAGGCAACTGTCAGAATAGGAGGCTATGCAGGTTTCATGGGGCTCTCGCTAATTACATCTGCGGTGTTTCTCTGAATCATTTCCGATCCAATCAAGTGGTATTATCACGACTAGTTTTTCGTGACTTACACGAAAGCATGGAACAGCGGCTCCAGGGTACCAACTCAAGCAAGGGCAGCGTGCACGAGGTTCTAAGCTTAGTAGATAATCTGTGTTGCACAGGATATTGCTCTCATCCCCCATACAGGCTGTCTTGCTACTTCTGTCATCACCGGAAACAGCATATAACCTGTATTGCACTGACGCCAGACCGATCTAATGCGATTTGGGCTCGGCGAGCACTCGATATGCGTGAGGGCCCTCTTTCTCACGTGGCCTTTAGCAACACCAGTAGTCTGACTGTATATAATCGCCAATAACTCCCCCCTTCTCTAGCTCCATCGAATCTCTATCCCCGCCCCTACCTCATCTCATACTTTCCAACCAACACGAAGACCCTATGTCTCCTCCATCAGAAGTAGACGTTATCATTTGCGGTGGAGGCGCTGCCGGCAGCGTTGTGGCGGGCCGACTCGCAACGGCAGACCCATCTCTGAGTATCCTCGTGGTGGAAGGCGGGAAGAACAACCACAATCTTCTTACAGTTGTTCGGCCAGCGTTGTTTCTCACCCACATGACGCCCGGTTCAACCACGGCCAGGTTTTACAAGGGGAAAGCATCCAAACAGCTCAATGGACGAGAGCCAATTATTCCTGTAGCAAATATTCTAGGTGGTGGATCAAGCATCAACTTCCTGATGTACACCAGGGCTAGTCGGTCGTGAGTTTTTCTCCATAGGCTGTTTGGAATGCGTGTCTAATTAGGGTTAGGGATTACGACGACTGGAAGACTGAAGGCTGGACTGCAGACGATTTGATCCCGCTACTAAGGAAAACCGAGACCTACCATCTCGAGAACAAAGACCCCGCAATCCACGGGTTTGAGGGACCTCTGCACGTCTCCCACGGGGGGCACGGGTCTGAGACTACCGATCAGCTCCTTGAGGCTGCCAAGTCTATGGGATACAAGATTACCAAAGATTTACAAGATCTCAATGAGTCTAATGCCTTCGAGGTTTTGCCTCTTGTCTCCAATTATAAAACTTGGGCTAATGGAACTTCAGAAATGGCCCAAATGGATTAACCCCGAGACTGGCCGGCGCTGCGATGCCCCGCACGGCTTCATTCACCCTCAGATTGAGAAGGGTTGTAATCTCCACCTTCTATGTGAAACCAAGGTTGCCCGCGTAATTATCGAGAACGGAAAGGCTGTAGGGGTCGAAGTAGTTCCTGCCGAAGCACCCGCCGACTCCTCTGTCCCAGTGACTACCACCATTAAAGCTAGGAAGCTCGTTGTTGTGTCATCTGGTGCCCTTGGCACCCCGCAAATTCTCGAGAGATCCGGTATCGGTGCGCCAGAGGTCTTGAATGCGGCCGGAATTAAGCAAGTCGTTGACCTCCCAGGTGTGGGAACAAACTACCAAGACCATAATTTGCTTCTCCAATCCTTCCGTGTAGCACCGGAGACCACTACGCACGACGATTTCATTCGCGGCAGCACCGACGTCCTCGAACAGGGCGAGAAGGATTTTGCCAACGGAAAGGGAATTTACACAACAAACTTTGTCAATGCCGGTGGTAAGGTCCGACCGACCCAAGAGGAGATTGAAGAGATGGGGCCCGAATTCCGGAAACTCTACGACGAGTACTTCAAGGATGCTCCGGATAAACCCGTTATGTTTGTCAGTCTAGGAAATGCGTGAGTTCCGCACTTTAATTCAGAGGGAATCAGTTACTAACAGCCATAGCTTCTTTGGTGACCATACTCTTGTCCCACCTGGCAAGTATATAACAATCGCGTTATACCTGGAATACCCCGCTTCCCGCGGTACTATCCACGTTACCTCACCCTCGCCATACGGGGAACCAGACCTTGATCCCGGCTTCCTCACACACGAGGCCGATATCGGCCCAAATATCTGGGGCTACAAGCTCGGACGTGAGATCGTACGCCGCATGCCCTGCTATCGCGGAGAGGTCCCAGCTTTTCACCCCAAGTTCGATCCCTCATCCGCAGCTCGTGCGCGGGAGATTGACATCGAGACCTCAGAGGAGATCCAGGAATCCGCGCTGACTAGCGGAAAGATCGAGAGTTTGGTATACACTAAAGAGGACAACCGCGCTATCGAGGAATGGGTCCGCGAGAATGTCGCCACTACGTGGCATTCTATGGGCACTTGTGCCATGAAGCCGAGAGAACAAGGTGGTGTTGTCGATAGTAAATTGAACGTGTACGGCGTTGAAGGGCTCAAATTGGCAGATTTGTCAATCTGCCCCGGGAATGGTGAGCTCTCCATCTCTTGGGCATTTAGATGGGAAGTATTGCTAATCACTTTTGTGTTTTTTCTTCTCCCTAGTCGGCGCAAATACCTACTCTACAGCCCTTTTGGTCGGTGAGAAGGCGGCCATTTTGGTCGGAGAGTGCTTGGGTCTTAAGAATGTTTAATTTGATGCAGGTTACCTTATTCTTGAGAGTTTGGTAATTGGATTTTTCCTTGGTTGGTGGGACTGGTGTTTGGATAGAGAGAATCTTGTACGATGGAACGAATTATGCTCTTTTTATTCCCCCCCTCCCTCCCCCTCCTGGTAAAAAAACCCCCGTTTCTTTACGGGAGCTAGTAGGAATTGTGTTTGCAACCCTGTGATATCGTGAGGATGCGGTTACTGGCGCAATCCACACCACTCCTTTCCAGAACCACTACCAAAAAACCAGCGCACCCTCAATCTTAAACCTCCCCCGAGGGCCCCCCCGGCCCGACTACCAGAATCACTACCGGTATGACCTACGGTACTTGTACGAGCACCTCCATGCCACTAACCTCCAAGCCCACATCCTTGCCAAAAATGATATAACCCTACTTGTAATCACCCCCCCCCCCGCGCCATGACCAGTGGTCAGGACTCAGGAGCGATAACAGCATGGGTCAGAGGGAGAGTGGGTTAGGGTTTAAAAGTAAATATTGAGCGGGGAAAATGTAAAATTCAAAAAAAGAAATAGTATGACATCATAATATTTAACAAGAGGAAAGGCATCTACTATAAGTCGTCCACAAATTGTGCTGTACTGTAGGTATGCCGAGGAAATATGACCACTCATCACCTCTCATCACCCCCTACTGTTGACCGCTGGTCACTGACCATAGTCATGGTCAGGACTGGTCAATTCATCAGCCCTGGTCACTGCCAAGACAACTCGAGTACACGGACCAAGTCGAGGCCGAGACCACGCTGTTCTATTCACGCAAGCCCGGTTTTGACGCTAAAGGTGATGCATGTAGTGCCGGAGCAGGATTGTCGACTACTTACTATACGGGATCAGTTTTGAAGGGAGTGTTGGACGGAAGTGTTTCTTGGCTGCTCACCGCATATTTCCCTTATGGCAACAACCCCACAACCCTAACCCTCTTGGTATCAACTACTCCAATGCCTCTATGTTTGACTACTGGTTAGTCCCACACATAAAACACCATATGCGACAACATCTGCGATGATACCTGCGACGACTCCATGTTAGGGCATTACCCCTATCATATGGAAATACCGAATGTCCTCGGCCAGAGCATACCCTCGGTCGAATTCACTTATCCTCGGCCAAAGTGGCAAAGTGGGCAATAGTGAAACTGAATGTGATGGAGAACACGGCATATGCTGGAAGTATGTGGAAGCAGATCAGTATGATCTAGGGAATGATAAAAGGCAGCTGGTTTTCCCTTGGTTAATAGTTTTCGTTCATTATCCAATCTGTCTCTCATTCCTCTATTACTCGCATTTGGGTCATATCAGCCTTTCCCGTTTTTTATTCCCTATCGTTTTCTTCACAAGAATTTTTCTCCGGTTAGGATATTGAAATTCATCTTTACATCTTTGCCCTACCATCCAAGTCAAGTCAATATTGTCCAAAATCGCTGCCATAAACATTGTTGTTTAAAAGGGAGGAGGGTACTCTTTGCCATCTTCGGATATGGCATTAGAGTTAGATCCCCATTGGTCTGATTTTCTGTTCAGTGCGTCAGTTAGTTTTAAGATGCTCCGTTGTAAATGCCTAGGCCCCTGGCTTAGTGTGATGAATGTCCAAGTCCTCTGGCCACATTCGCGATGCACCAATAAAAATTTGTTGCGATAAAAGTTGAAGATGCCGAATTCCAATAAAAGAGACTGCGGTTTTTTTTTATAAATACTCCTGTTTGGGGGTTGTGGCGATGGTGTTGGAGTGCGCAGAAAATAGTACCAATCGGGGAGACATTGTGGTAGATATGCGTAGTGCTCGGCATTGAAATCGCCTCTCATGGGTATTAAATAGTTCGCGCAGACAGACCTAGGCTGTATTAACACAAGTTAATGACGGAGCTTGGCCACCCGGTTTCTAGATCCCACCTGGTCGACGTGTAAGAACAATGATGTCGGACATGGAATTGAGCGCCCTAAATGCCAAATTCCAAGGTAGATTTAACTTATGAATTAATTGGGGTATGATTTTGTATCCGTGCTCTTTACATGTAATTTCTGTGAGAATTGGCCCCTGAACTCGTACAAGTATGGCCTCTTGAAAAGAACCAAGTTCAAGAAGGAGGTTTCACCTTTTACCTCCTTAGGATCTTGGCGCCAAGAGTCACGAGTAGTACTGTACTCGGTATAGCGCCAAGATAACAAGCGGCTGAACCTCTAGCGCCCAACCATCATGTCTTCAACCCCCCCCACTGCGGCCTCTTCGTTATGAACGCCAAGATTCCACCGGAAGATATAACCCCATAGCATGGAACGAAAGGTGTCTTGATAGGTGTCTTGATTGAGCCAAGGATTTATTAAAGCCTTGGTATTACTGGTACTCCGCACTAATGACCTACAGTACAAGCACGAGTACAGTCACTCGGCAGAAGTGCTCCCGGAACATATCTCACACTCCCACGCTACCTCGACTCGCTCAATTGATCTCGATTTTCTCCTGGCACCCCGTAGCAACAGCCCTAATGTCCAAGTTGATCAATCCGCGTTTCGTCCTCATTCTTCCCCCCAGAAATGGGAAATGGGTCTGGAAGTGTGTGCGGTGGAAAAGGGTGCCGCAAAAACGTCAAGAGACGTGACTGCCACTCAGAAGAGTTTGAGAATTTCCTTTTTTCTTCTGCCTCCAGAGTATTACCCCATTTTCTCGGATTATAAAAACTTTGTTTTAGGCGCAATCAAATACAGCACAGAATGGCAACGGATGTGGATATGGTAGCTCGGACTTAAACTCTATTTGGACAGAACGGTTCCGTTCCGTTGCCCCATAACAAAAAGACTGTTTCCTTCCATTCGACCCCATTTTTACAGCTAAAAGGGTCGCAAGACGGACCGGAGCCGTTGTATACAAACTGAGCCTTTGGTCTTCTCATTTTCTCTAATGGCAATGATAGGGGTGCACACAGAACATGATGCGATGGTTTTCATTCTTCCATCAATTGCCGCACCTATCATCCCTCCCCTACGCATGCCCGCCTTTTCGTGCCTCCCCGCATGTCAAGAGATGAAAAGAACATTCTCTGCAATGGGAATCTAAAACAAAGAACTCCAGCTCCCCAGGCCTTTCCAATGATACCGCTCATGTGTCGGAGAATGTTCTCCCATCCCCTCCATAGCATCCACGGCGTTCAATTTGACCTCTCCTCATTCCTAACTCATCACCGAAATTCGAAACTTTTCCCGAAACAACGAAGCTATCACATGAGCTGCCAGTATTGCTTCGTTTAATCTCTTTATTTGTTATTTAATTTTAATTTTAATTCTTCTATAATAAGTTTATCATTCTCCGCTCTGGCAAGTTGATTCTTGATAACTCTCGATCCTGAAATCCCACCATCCTCTCCCCATTGCCCAGGTCCCTACAGTGCAAAAACAAGGTCTCGGATCACGGACACTTCTGCCGAGTCGCTGCAGTACCTACCTCTCTCCTGTTTCTCGCACCTCCTTTGCTATCCCATTCAGCCCACCATACCATATTTCCGACACACAACTCAGAGTGTGTCTCTATTTAGGCTCCAACGGCTCACCTGCAATGACATATATATGATCGGGGAACTGGAGATGCAAGATCCACCATATATCAGGAGGAATATAGGCGCATAAGCAGCAACGGTGAACCCACAGGACATACAGTGACGGGAGTATCGTAAATCCCAGGCGGCAGTTCTCCCGAAGCAGCACAATCCCACCCAACCCGGTCCCTATTCACCGCAAACTCTCAATAACCTGCTATACTATCTAACCTTCTCTATACGAGATTTACGATAGAGAGCTCGGGAGGTTCCTGATTACAATACTAACCTACAATCACTCCAAAGTAGTGTTCTCGAGACATGTCTCATATTAGTCATGCACCCTCCCAAATGATTGGATATTGAGTGTCACACAACAATCTCATCTCCCCGCTTTCCTCAGCTCTACTAACAGACGTTTATAAACTCCCTGGATACCCCCACAGATCATTTTACTGTTTCTACGTCCAATCTACACTTTTGACAGAACATCATGGCCCTGACTACCCAGGTCAGGATCGGCGACGGCAATGCCAACAGCGGCAACATAATAAGTAGCTTCAACGTCTACAAATCCGACGAGGATTTGCAGATTATGCGATGGCTCTCTCCGCTAGAGCCAAATCACAGGCATCAAGGCGTGCGCAACGAGCGGTTTGACGGCGTGGGGGATTGGTTATTGGAAACAAGCGAGTTTCAGGAGTGGAGGGGTAGTCAGGGTGGAGCCGATAAGGCTGTCTTGCTCTGCAGCGGGAATCCGGGAGTGGGCAAGACGTACCTGAGGTAAGTGGCGAGATTCTCAGAAAGAAAGGGAAAATTGCTGACGATCGGAAATATTAGTTCCCTCGTCATTGACAACCTATGCGATCACCCGGGGGAGGGAAGCATCGTTGTTGCAGGATTGTACTGCGACTTCCTTGCTCACGAAGAGCAGTCAATCACCAACATGGTGGGGGCTATCCTGAAGCAGTTATCAGGCAGAGGGGACATCCCGAATTACCTGCGGGAGGCGTTTCATAAAGGGAAAACGGAGTTTGGTGGCAGAGGACCGCGACTTCCGGATCTGATGGGAATGCTGAGGGTCACTATTGCTTCGCTACCCCAAGTTTTCATCTGTATTGATGCGCTAGATGAATGCTTGCCGAAGCATCTGCCAAAGCTGCTGGAGTTGCTGAGAGATATCGTTCGGGAGTTCCCCGGGACGCGGATATTCCTCACCGGCAGGCCTCATGTCAAGGAAGATGTTCAGAGATATTTCAGCAAGGCGATTGTGATACCCATCAGCCCTAACGCGGATGACATTAGGAGCTATCTCGAGATGAGGTTGGATGAGGACGCCGATCCAGAGGCGATGAACGTTGATTTGCGGGCGGATATCATTAGAGTTATCCTGGAAAAGATATCCGATATGTAAGAGCATTTAACATTCCCACTC